TTTATGTGTATCGCTCAATCATTTAATCTGTAACGATTTATTTATTTTCTTTCTTATATTGTACCAGTAAAAAAATCCACAAAAGGATCGAAACATATGGTCAAGTTAATTACACGATAATAAATACAATTTAACATTACACACCGTTTACTGCGTTCAGGCTCAAATTGGTCCTGTTTTATTATTAACTTTTCTATTATAAATTATTAGTTTGGAACCTCTACTTTTATATTTTAATTATTTATATTATATAAAAATGAATACACGAATGTTCTGATTGGATTTTGTTTTTAATGTTATCTTTATTCAAATATGTTACAGACAGATAAATAATAATAAAGAAAATGGATTATAACTTTAGCGCGATAGAAATAACAAAATTTTAATTGTATGCGTGTGTGTGTAGAAGAGGAGGAGGAGAAGGAGGATTCCATTAAAAGTCAACAGCTTTTAAAATTCGATTCGATTTATTTTTTCTTATCTTCTCCCTCAATTACGTTTTAGATTTAAGGGGTTATGCCTACTTGGGATCGGGAAAATTACGTGATTTTCAAGAATTTTTTTTACCGTTTTAATAAGTATTTATTAAAATTTATAAAACACTATCAGAAAGTACATATTTTGTGGTACATGTCCAAATTTTTTTATAAAAAAATATTAAAAAATAAAGGAAATATGACTCTTCACCTACAACGTCTGTTTTTTTACATCACTTGCGGTGACCACGATATCTTCGGAACGGCTTATCTGAAATCAAAATAAGAGAATATTGCGTTAGTATATTGCATTACGAAGGGCCTGGTACGAAGGGTTTGGTAAAATTTTGATTTTTACAAAAATAACAACAATTTTACGAAAAAGTCCATTTTTCGAGGTGAATTGATTTTGGTTTTTTTGCAATAAAAAAAAAATTTTTAATCGAAATAAAAAATCCTTCGTCCAGGCCCTGCCTATTGTAATAACAAATAAGCCCATAAAATTTGAATTCAATCGGTGCAATAGTTTTTAAGAAACTTTGGTCACCGCAACCGTATTTTTAAAAAAACATAGTTTCGAGATAATCGCGTTTAAAGTTTCAAGTCTATGTTTTTCATAGTTAAAACTAATTTTTTTTAACTTACGTAGAGTCATCTATTCCAGGGCCATAAAGGGTCCCTTCTGCATCTTCAGCCACCTCCAGAACGTTGAGTTGATGTTGTCTTCGAGCCATCCTTTGCTCTCTAGTAGCTGCATGTGCGCGCTGCTCGGCAATCATAACACGGATCTCATCTTCTTTTGTAACATATTCGTGGGCATTTCGGCCACAGGGCACGCCTAATGTCTCAAAAATCTTCAGAAGGGCTATGTTACCCTCGTTAAAAATACAGGCAGATGTGTATGCTGCAATTTTAACAGGCAGTGCACCGCCCGGAAGACTCTTCGGGCTGATTTTCCAGATGAGTTGATTATAACTTTCGTTATTGTTCTGCGTGAATCCGCCAACACATCTATCAAGCAATTCTCTTTATGAAAGATCCACGTAGGTGGGCTTGATAGCTTCCAAAACATCTGGAGGAAGAGGCTCATACGTGTGCTTGAAATCTGCGATCTCGTTCTTTTTATCTTTGGGCAGCGCTGCGTAAGCTCTCTGCCACTCACACCACGAGTCACTTCCGGGCGGGCATTTTTCGTGATGCGGAGCTTCATCGGTAGAGCTGTAATGATTATATGTTGCCCAAATCGCACTTTCCATTGCTTCGGCCGAATCTGCGTGATGACGAATCGCTAAGCCATAATATACTGCCAATTTATTAATCATTTTTCCGGTCAATTTTCACTGCTTCAAAACAACACACACAAACAACAAACACACTACTACAAATGTACTTGAATATATACCTGCCCTTGAATCTCGAGCGACACAATAAAACGTTACTCGGAGAGGAAAAGGGACGTTCCCTTCCCTAACCGGTCCGCCGCTCATGTTCTAACCGACAGCTACGGGCTGTAACTCATGATTCAGGTAGCACAAAGCCACTAGCTTCTCTAAATACCTATTTAAGATGATGTACATTAAGAAAATGCAATAAAAAAAAATCGATTTTTTCGACCTATCCAAGTAGGCATAACCCCTTAAAAAATTTGTTTGTCTAAAACGGTCAAAAGATGTCTATTTATCGCCAGTTTTTTATTAAGGTTTCGAATTTTTGTAAGATTTATCCGGCTATTGTTAGATTTGGATCGGCTAAATTCGCCATCAATTTCTTGTTCTCCTCTCTGATAAGCTTTAGATTGTTACTCTTTCTATTTAGAGGGAGATCTATATTGTTCTATCATAGATATATTTGTCTGTTTCCCATCCGATATTTTTTTATCTTCAGATAATTATTTGTTAAAGGAATCGGTTTTGATTCATTGTTAGTTTTTTTGCGTGTTTTCTTTGTAATGACTCATAAATATTAGATGACAAATATAGATTATTATTTAGGCCCGTATTTATAATCACGATTCTGCTAAGACATTCATCTGAAACTAATTTTGAGATGTGTACGGTTTAATAAATGAATCTTAAGAATCAATATGGCATTCATTTATAATCTCGATTCAATAGAAATACTCAGAGGAAGTTTGTCTTGATATGTAGCTTGAGCTGTGTTGAATGCATTTCAATAATCGCAGCTTGAGAAAAAATCACACATTTACATATTAATAGTCTTTGAATTTCGTATCAGCTAAGATTTGAGTCGAAAAAAATTGCGTATCAATCAAGTTCAAAGATGACTTGAGGAAAATGTGACAGATTTAATAGAATAATTTACAGATTAATCATCAAATGATATATGTATAGAAGTATGTTTATGTTTTGCAATTTAATAATATATACGTCTACTTAATAACAAAAAAGTAATAAATAATAATATAAATAATAAGTAATCTGTAATATAATTAATATAATATGAATAATATGAAATAATTAATTAATATATCATTAATATAAGTAATATGAATAATAATTTTACTTTATAGTAAAAAAGTATTATACTTAATAGTGAAAATATATTTATTACAAAATTTTTTGACAATGTACAGGTTAATTAAAATGAATTCGATTGAAAATTATGAACAATATGATATTTATGAAAATTATGATTAATATGATATATATGAGGAATTACGCGAACGTATACTAAAATGTTATATTAAAGATGTACGAAATTTCTTCGAATGGTGGTTTGCAGAGGAATTTATTAAGAGATACAGATTTTGAAAAAAATCTGTATTATATTCTCCCTCGAATTGAAAGGTCTCTTCTTAAATCATCAAGAAGAGGTCTTCCAACATCACCGATTAAACAGCTTCTTTTATTGCCTTTGATTTATGCTACAGCATCCTTTCAGTATATCCCTGCGGAGAGCTCCACTTTCGAAAGATAAAACCCAACCCATGTCAAACCTAATGTCAAACCTAACCCATGTCCGTGATATGGATTATACCTCGCTTTGCATAGAAAGTTATAAACCCATACTATATGTACATATAATAATATATATACATAGTATCAAGAAAAATATGTTCTATTTATAAAACTTTTTTTGTTTATATTGCATTTATTTTTATATTTGCATTTATATATCATTAATCTAATAAGTCGATTACGTTGTGTAATAATGATTGATATTAAAAGTAATGTGAGATTAAAGTATCATTTTATGAAAAAATCCGAAAAATAAGATATCTGTTTATGAAAAAGTTGTTCAAAAAAATTGTTGTGCAATAAAAATGAATATTGATGTATATCTTTATTTTTTTGTGTATAAAACTAATCATTTGAATCATTTGAATATATTAAAATTAAAAATATCTTACAAATGAATAAAGTTATATAAATGTAATTAATTTCAATCGACATAATTTTCTTACATATATACGACGTATTGCCTACGATGAACAATTCCAGACAAGATTAGATCATCAGAATCCGTTTATGTCAAGAGACAAAGTTGTTCTCTGTAAAATTTTCATAGTATATGTCATTTTCATAGTATATTTCATAGTACATGTATATCAAAGTGTTTATTTTCTATCAAGGCATATTGTTTTTTTTTATATTATTATAAATTTATATTATTATATTATTTTTTATATTATTATTATATTATTATATACTTTTATATTATTTTTATATTATTATATTATTATTATATTTAATTTTCATATTATTATTAAATAACCGCACAGGTAACAATACTATTTTCTTATAATAGAAATTTTTAGAAAAATTTCTATTAAAGAACAATATTTTAAAAATGTCGATCAAGCGACGCGGTAGCGTCGCGACGCCAAGTACATAAAAAACAAGTACATAAAAAATAGATCCGAGCATTGAGAGTCACTGTTTTTAACGCGGCGCTACCAAGTACCTTATCTGGAATTTTAGGTCTAAGAAATTTTCAATTAAAATATTTCAAAAACTAAAGCCGTAATCATAAATCTAACGATACTTTTATAACATAATATGTATACAAGCTTTTGATTGCGACCAGTTTGAATAAGATTGGTGCAGTCAATCCCGAGAAATAATGACCGCATATCAGAAATGTGACATTTTATCATTTTCCTTCATTTCCAGGTTCAGATTCACGTACATATGCTCGCACGTATACACGCAAAGCAAGTTTGTCCCTCAAGGCGCGTTTGCAACGCTCATGTACGATTATTCGTTCGAGTGTGCAAATACGCCTTGAGAAACAAAATTATGTGTGGATATGCGTAACATTGTGCGTTAATTTTTTATTTTATCATATTATATTAAAGCGCAATAATATATTAAAACGTAATACAAGTAGTATTCTCGTCAAGATAGAGCGCGTATCTTGGCAGGAAGCGCGCATTACGACTCTTTGGCCGACAATTGGTCCTTGGTTAAGTCGGACAATGCGTAAATATCTCAGCGCAGATCTGGCGCGTGATTGGTGGCCGGAGTACCACGTGGTACTCCGGGCCCCAGGATAGGAAGAGAGAGGTTAGTGTGAGGCTGGAGATCGGGTGACCCGAGAAATAATGACGGTGCGAACTATACACGTATCCAAGAACACCGTCGATCACGTAATTAATGCCGTCTTCCGAGTCAGACCCTGGAGACGGCATTAATTACGTGATCGACGGTGTTCTTGGACATGTATATAGTTCGCCTTCCAGTAGTATCTTTAGTTTTATGCAATACTTTTACAAATACATCTGCATTTAGTTGAATGATTCCGCAGCAGTGTAAGTCAATTATTTCATTACAAAGTAATTTATTCAATTAATTTTACATATCGAGATTCTTGGTTATTAATAATTATTTATTGTTTATAGTTTTTGGATTTTATCACCAACCATCAATGATACTAAAGAAAATGGTTATGAGAAATTTTACAACAGAGAAGGTTGATGGAGAGATGATAAAGGCAATCGATTTTACAGGTATAAATCTTTCCTTTTTTGCAATTGATGAAAACTAAGAGAAACATATACAGAATGTTTTGTTTAAAAAATTATTTTTAATCCTATTTATATCCTAATATATTTATATCCTATTTATATTTTTAATCCTATTTATATATATTTTTCCCATTTTTAGCTGGATATACTAAGTTATATAATGGTATATTATCTTACTACTAAGATAAGATAATATATCTTAGTATATCAGTATCATTATATAACTTAGTATATCCAGTATACAATAAATCTTTATCTCGCTAAGTTTGATCTCATCTCATAAATTAAAATACTAGCATTCACAAAAAATTATATTGAACTACATGGATACAACTTCATGCATTATCTGATCATTATATCATTATGTATAAAAAACAATAATTATCATTGTTAATTATAATGAATAATAATAATAGAATAACAATAATAATTGTAATCATTTAAAGATATTTATTTTGAATTGTACAAAATTCTTTTAATACATTAAACCTCAACATTAATACTGATAATAAGATATTATATCACAGTAATTATATCATTAATGAATAGAAATTATAATGATTATAATCATTATAATTTCTATTCATTGTTAATTATAATGAATAACAATAATAGAATAACAATAATAATTGTAATCATTTAAAGATATTTATTTTGAATCGTACAAAATTCTTTTAATACATTAAACCTCAACATTAATACTGATAATAAGATATTATATATTATATCACAGTAATTATATCATTAATGAATAGAAATTATAATGATTATAATCATTATAATTTCTATTCATTAATGATATAATTACTGTGATATAATATATAATATTTTATTATTAATGATGATTATTATTATTATTGTTATTCTATTATTATTATTATTATAATTTAATAATATATAAGCACAAAATAAGCAGAATATATGAATACAATTTTTTTGATTATTAATCATTAAGGACCGATTTTTCCAACTTCTTGGTAAGTTTTACTCGACAGGTAGCATATTTTCGTCTCTTTACAGATAAGTTCTAAAAAAGAGACGAAGATAGACTATCTATCGGGTAAAATTTACCAAGAAGTTGGAACAACCGGCCCTAATACTAATAAACAGAAATAGTGAAAGTAAACATAGTTTTTAAATGTAATTATGCAAGCAAAAATTATAAGAAATAAACACAAACTTTAAATTTAATCATTATCGTGTAGTCCTCGTTTGGTAGTTTTCTCATTGTGCCACTGTCTGCTAAAATCAATTAAAAAAAATAATGTCATTAATATTGTTGTATTTATAAAATAAAGAATTTTTTAAATATTTTGTAATGACAATTTTTATTACTTTCTTGGTCTTGCTCGTCTGCCCCAATTATAGTGAGCAGACGATAGTTGGTAGAGGAATCTCATAAATCTCTCCTGCTGCCTACGTGCTCCTGCTGCTGTTCCTCTTGATCTTCGAACTAAAGATAAGGTATGAAAAGAAAAGATATGAAAAACATAAAAAGTATGAAAATAATAACTAAGATAAATAGATAAACTAAAATATAATTATTACCTCGTTCATTTTCATAATTAGCGAGATCGGGATTATCGAGATCAGCCACAATCATATTAGCGGCAGCATTGTCTGAGTCAGCGATGGGAGCAGCAGCAGATTTTACGCCGGAATTAATGCTGGCGTTGGTACCAGCAGCAACAGGTTTGGCGATAGAATCAACAGCGACGGGTTTGGTAACAGAACCAACGACGACGGGTTTGGCGGTAGAATTCGTAGCTACTCTACGTTCAGCAGCAATGGGTTTGACGACGGAGACAGCTGCGGCAGAATTAGACGTACGTCTAACAATAGAATTATCTGCGAGACCAGCGGAAGTGGCGGGACCGGCTATGGAATCCATTTCTTTTCCGAATGCGAACGACAACTCATTCATAAAATCGTCAACTTCTATGATCATCTAAAATTTTAAATTAAATGAATATATTTAAAATCAAATGAATATTATATAAGTTGTGAAATGAATATTATATAAAAAATTATATAAGTTGTTCAATAAATAAGAATATATTAAAGATGATGTCATAATACTTACTTCTTTCTCTGCGGCCATGTTTGATTATCGATTGAATCATCGATTGAAAATTTTTATAGATATGTATCTTTTAGCAAAAAAGCTTGTTTTTTATTGGTTGTAATTTATAGGTAGCGCCATATTGCTTTGAGAACAATTTAAACAATTAATGTTATTATTGGTCAATTACAGCTATTCTGAAGAATAGAATGGTTGTAATTGGTGAATGATGTTATTGTTTTTAGATCAAAACTTACTTCAGTCAAGAAATGTTACATGGTTAATGTACTGCACGGAGTTACAATCGTTAGTTACGGTTATAAACGTGCTTCACATACGTGCTTCACGTATATTAATTAACAACGATTCTGAGCAATAGGTAAATAGCATTATATTATGCGCTTGGCAATAAGAATGCCTTAACACACAAATTTATGCACATATCGGAGCATATGTATGTTCTATGTACATATGTGAAAAATATATAAATTCATCTATTAAGGCACTTGATGAGCATATGCACATCACAATTTTATCTTATTATAGTAGCCGTTATTATTGCAGCTATTACAAAGATAGAAACTATCACTGGCTGTCATAAAATCACTGACAGTAATAAAAAATATCCATTAAAAATGCATACATACTTTTTGCAGAAAAAATATAATTTTTACAAAAAGGTGTGATATCCCTCTAAAAAAACCTTACAAAGGTAAAAAAAGTACGCCAAGTACATAAAAAATATTCTACCATATGCAATAAATTTATATTTAATATATTTAATAAAAATATCCCTAAAAATAGTTTACAGAAATTTTCCCTAAAAAAATAGTTGTCCTAAAAGAAAAACAAAACTAAATATGAAATCAATAATTAACTAGCCAAGTACATTGAAGCAATTCATAGAGATTTGTAATTTAAAATATGAAATATAATGATATATAATGATATATAAAAATACATTATTATCCAAATTTAAATAAATATTTGTACAATATATGAAATAGCACTAATATATTGCGAATTTTATCATAAACATAAATAATAAGTCATAAAATTATTTAACCTTTACAATAACATTGATTACATTAATCGGCAATTTTGAATTTAGAAGTGTCTCGAAAAACTAATCGATTTGTTTCGAGATCATCAAGTTTTACCAAGTAAATCCGGAACTAAAGAAATTAAGAAAAGTTACATACAAAAACTTAATTCAGATAGCATTATAATATATTTATTATTAATAAATATTTAATTTTAAAATTAATTCTAAGTTTTACCAAGTAAACTTGCAATTGAAAAAGTTAAAAGCAAAATAAAAAAAACTTGGCGTGCTCTCGTCGTATCCCATAATTCACATAATTTTATTTTAGTAAATATTTAAAATTAAGATTCACAAATTATATTCCTGTTTTTGTATGTAACTTTTCTTAATTTCTTTAGTTCCGGATTTACTTGGTAAAACTTGATGATCTCGAAACAAATCGATTAGTTTTTCGAGACACTTCTAAATTCAAAATTGCCGATTAATGTAATCAATGTTATTGTAAAGGTTAAATAATTTTATGACTTATTATTTATGTTTATGATAAAATTCGCAATATATTAGTGCTATTTCATATATTGTACAAATATTTATTTAAATTTGGATAATAATGTATTTTTATATATCATTATATATCATTATATTTCATATTTTAAATTACAAATCTCTATGAATTGCTTCAATGTACTTGGCTAGTTAATTATTGATTTCATATTTAGTTTTGTTTTTCTTTTAGGACAACTATTTTTTTAGGGAAAATTTCTGTAAACTATTTTTAGGGATATTTTTATTAAATATATTAAATATAAATTTATTGCATATGGTAGAATATTTTTTATGTACTTGGCGTACTTTTTTTACCTTTGTAAGGTTTTTTTAGAGGTAAAATATATTGTATACTTTGCTATAACTGTATAGTTACAGAAAATATAATTATAATAAAATTTTCACACATTAATTATTAATTTTATGGCATTATTTTTCTAAAATATATTACATTAATATAATACTATTACATCAATTTCTCATAATCTATCATTTTTATCGTTTTTTCTTTGGGTACACAATTTGAGCATATTTGATTATAATTTTTTATTATTATCTATGGCTTTCATCACCTTAAATTTATGTGTATCTTTTGATTATTTAAGCATTTTAAGCTGTAACTATTTATTTATTTTCTTTCTTATATTGTATCAGTGAAAGGATCCACAACAAGATCGAAACATTTGATCAGGATAATTACACGTAACTCGATAATAAATACAATTTAACATTACGCACCGTTTACTGTGTTCAGTCTTAAATCCTTGTCCTTTTATATTATTAATTTTTCTATTACAAATTATTAGTTTGGAACCTCTACTTTTATATTTGAATTATTTATATTATATAAACATCAATACAAATGTTCTGATTGGATTTTATTTTTAATATTATCTTTATTCAATATGTTATAGACAGATAAATAATAATAAAGAAAATGGATTATAATTTTAGCGCGATAGAAATAGCAAAATTTTAATTGTGCGTGTGCGTATGTGCGTGCGTGCGTGCGTGCGTGCGTGCGTGCGTGCGTGCGCACGTGTGTGTGTGTGTGTGTGTGTGTGTGTTAGATGTAATTGACTGCTGATAAATAATCAGATGAAGAAAATTTTTATATGATTATGTTATATGATGATTATGTTTATATTTTCGACAGTTATTATATCTTTGTCGTAAAAGTCAGAATCCCGATTTCTTCAACGATGAATAGCTGTTGTAGCTTGTATGTACTAATGTGAATTTGTATTAATTACATCGTATCGTTTTGACAAAATTTGTCACACAGAAAAATGCTACTAGAAGTTAATTCATATCTGACAACGTCTACTAACGTAAAATGAAATCGCATCCAAAAAATTTACGTAATGTTTAATAGAAGAATTTATAATTGAAGAAAAACTATTGTATAAGAAAAAACTTAAGCAATTTTTTATAAAAAGATTTTCATTTAACAAATTGTTGTACAAAACAATTGGTTAAATTTCTTGTAAGAAAAAATTTAAATATTTATTTAAAAATATTAAAAATTAAATATTAATAAAAAATTAAAATTAAAAAGCTTTTAATTATTAAAAATCCACGTTGCCAAATTTATTTGTGTATTATTCAGCAGCGTCGACATTTTCAATGAAGAAAAATTGTCTCTAAATAACTTTAGAAATCTGTTATTAATGTTACTAGATAGTGTGGTAGTCCAAGAGACTGCATATAGGATAAGTTTTATCTCGTGTACCAATTTTTTTGTCATGCGAGAGATTACCGATTGCAATTGCAATAAATTAATCGATACATAGATGGCAATTATTTGGATGGATATTACAATCGATATGCATGGTCGATCAAAATAATTGACATATATGAGTACTTTCCGATTCACGCACGATGCGCATGAAGTGACAGAAAATGTATAATATGCGTGACATGATCTATACATTTTCTGTCACTTCATGCGCATCATGCGTGAATCAGAAAATATCCTATGTACCGATCAATTCATTCCAATTACAGTCGGTAAACTTCTTGCAAGATAGAAAAAATGATACATCTCTGATCGTCACGAGAATACAGTGCTTCGTCAAACGTGCGAACCGTACAAGAAAAATATGTAAAAATTATAGTCACGACGGGGACGTATCTTACATTAAAAAAATTTCACATTGAGAGTTTTGCATCGTTATATTTTTGCTTATAGAGCACATAGAGCAAAAATAAAGACACCTTATACAAGTCGAACTCAATCACTTGATTAAACCTAATAAGAATTTGATCGGTTCAGCGGTTATTCAGAACTGATAATATGCATTACTCGCAACTTAGCCATTCGCGTAATAAAGAAAATACACGGTGTGTCTTGCGCCTGAATGATGACTCGATTTGAAGACACTACCGTGTCGCTTGATTATGAAATTATGAAAGTCAGTAAAATTCTGTGATTGAAAGCATTGAATTGAAATAAGTATTGTTTCCGCTTAAAACGAATCTATTTCAAAATCCAGATATGATTATCAATATAAATAATAAATAAAGAAAAACATTTTACATTTCTTTATCAATTTTCATATCAAATCTTCTAACGTTTCATCAATTTGCTACATCAATAAATAGAAGAGAAATAGAGAAAGAGAGACTCGTATTAGGAGATAAATTATTTAGTAATATATCGCTTCGAATTATTTCTAATAAAATCAACGACATTAGTTGCTACAGTGTTTTTAAAGCATGTTTTATTGCTTTTTTGTCTAATAAAGAATAAGAAATAAAGCTTATTAAGTTGCTCGGATAGAGAAAGACTCAGGTTCGATTCTCATAACATATATATGTATACATCATAATGTGTGTGTGTGTGTGTGTGTGTGTGTGTGTGTGTGTGTAACAAACTTTTTTTTTTATATGACATGTTAAAGAGAGAATATACTTTTACGAAGAAAAATACTATTACTCACATTCATTAAATTCTTTAATATATATTTTCGTGCCAATATCGGTCTCATTTTGTGAATAATATTCAAAAGTCTTCTTTTTTTGCTGTGGAATCGAAAGGAAATTGTTTTCAAGAAAAAAGGAACGATTTTAATGGTCGAAAAAGTGCTTTAACTCTCATAAGAAGATGTTCCTTAGAATTTCTCGGGCCAATATCGGTCTCATTTTGTGAATAATATTCAAAAGTCTTCTTTTTTTCCAAAAGAA